GTGGGGCCTGAACTCTGGGCCTGGGCGCTGTCCCTCAGCTCTTCAGCTCAAGGCTAGCACTCTACCACTTGAGCCACAGCGCCACTTCCGGCTTTTTTTTTTCTTTTTGCTTATGTGGTGCTGAGGAATCGAACCCAGAGTCTCAGGCATGCAAGGCAAGTGCTCTACCACTGAGCCACCTTCCCAGCCCCGCAAGTGAGATTTTCTTGACACTAAACTTTTTGTGGATTTCCAGAATACAATGCCTAAATCCATAGGTAGAAATCTGATAAACTTTCTGTTTTAGTTAGTAAATTAAATAAGTTGATAACAGAAGGTTATCAACTCATATCCATTGACATCAGCCTTCCTATTTCAAGACAGGGCTGGAGTTTTGGCTCTGCTTCTAAAACATACTCCTGCCAGTTCCTGGTGGCTCACATTTGTAATTGTAGCTACTGGGAAGGCAGAGGTTAGAAAGACTGGCGTTTAAGCCTAGAGGTAGGCAAAAAACAAATCAATTACACCCCATCTCAATTAATAATTGTGTATAGTGGTACATTTATGTCACCCCAGCTATGGAAAAGGCAAGGATTGGGAGGATCATGGTTGCAGGGAATTTGCAAGACCTAATCTCAACAGAAGAAAGCTGGGTTGTCAATGGCCTATGCCTGTAATCCTAGCAACTTGGAAGGTTGAGATTTGAAGGACAGAAGTTCAAGGCAAGTAGAGGCAGATGCATAAGACCACTTCTCAAACAGATCGACTTGTGGACTTGTGACACTAGCTATGTGGGAGCTGAGATTGGAGAGGACCTCAGTCCTAACCAGAAGAATCTGGGCATGATAGCCATATAAATAGGAAGATTATAGTATGAGCATCCCCACCAAAGAGTAACTGTTGGTTATCTCAAAAACAGCCAGAACAAAAAGGCCTGGAGCCATGGCTCAAGTAGAGGAACCATGAGTTCAAACCCCAAGTAAACAACAACCAATTGCCAAATAAACACTAACAACAACAGCAACAACAAAAAACCATATTCCATGGCTTAGAGACATTGTGAACATCTGTACTTGTAGCTGAGAATGCTCAGCATCAGTGTACACAAAGCAGATGTTCACCAGCGCTTGCTGAGTGTGGTCAGCTTGTGCTACTCAAAACAAACTGGACTTCCCAATTTTGCTCAACTCGGGAAACAAGTGCCTCACTTCCACCAGCCCAGGTTGCCCCAAGTCTTTAGCTTGCTTGCCCTTGGAATACAGCTCAGAATACCAACCTTCTCCAGACATGAGTGGAGTTCATCTTTGGACAGAACCTGCACTCTGGCGTTGTATTACTAGTACTCTACTATTTGGGGGAGGGGGGAAATCTTTTGGTACCAAGGGAATTTCTATTAACTGTGAGCAACACTTCAGCCTTGTGATGGATGCATTAAAGTAGCGAGGACTCACGCAGGGAATTCTCTTACTTGGTGCTTCTGTTTAAAAAGAGCACTGGATTGTGCCTCCCGCTCCAGGACTGCGATAATGTCGTTGATTTTCCCGAGAGTTTCATAGAAGCACATGATCTGCTTTTCCAGCTCCTCCAATGGGACAGACAGCTGCCGGGCCTCATAGAGGAGGGGGGAGTGACATTCTTTGACCTTTAAAGACACCAAGACAAAACTCCCATGAAAGGCTGAAAAAAGCCCCAAGCCACTCAGGGCTTACGTATCTCTAAACACTTTTCTCTGATGCTATTTCCTCTCGATGGTTATAATATGTTCCAAAAAAACCCAAAAACATGAAACGATTTTCCCATGGAGCAAATAAAGGCCTATGGAGTTTCCCCCTGAAAACGCATCTGAGTCTCCATCTGCTTGGCTCTTTCGCGTCACAAGGATCCCTGTGGCAAGGCAGATGGCACAGACTCCACTTCAGAAAATATCCCCAAGCTGGCCTTGACATCTGACCTGAGATGGTCAGCAGTTATCACACTCTTTAGACATCTTCCAGACTGATTTTCACGTGCATTCCTAGCTGCGCCCTGAGATGGAGGTTCTTGTTCAGTGCTCCAAGACATTCATTTCTCTCTTCCTGATACCCTGGGTTGCTACCTCTTACCAACTTCTAGCTTCCTGTGTATCAACATTTGACTTGTTCTAAGCACACACACCCCCACCACTGTACTCCTGAAGGTTCCTCTCATTGGAGATGTCTTCCAGATCTGAGTAGAACCAGCCCTGATCTGTAAGCAGTCTATACATCAACATTATCTTTTTGATAAATCCATGTGTGTCCAGAGTTTAAGAGCTCCCATAAAGACTTTGCCTGACTACTTTTGTGTTGGATTCCATGACCACAGAAACCTACAAGAACTTCTCTCCCTATTCATTTACTTAAGGTTGCTCCCAAAGCATATAATCAGGGTTCGTAGACCATGGCTTGTTTGTTTGATAACATATGAAGATAATAATATACTAATGCTATCAGCCACCTTCCCCAAGTAATACTTGGAGAAGATGTGTTACAGGATAACAATGTTGTGTTAAGTGGCTACAGAATTCTGTATGCAGTAATACTTTCATAGTCTAGAATATACAGCTTGACTGTATAATGAAGGCTGTTGGTTTCCATTGCAGCCAAACTGCTAAACTTAGCTTGAACAAAACCAAGAGAATCTACTACTATGTGTAAAATCAGTGTGCATCATTCATCCTTCCTGGGTATAACAGATAAATCTATCAAGATTCTTGTTTCCCAGCCAGCATTAAAGAAAACATAGTGAGCTCATTGTGCTGTTCAGGTATGCACTGTCTTGCTGTCTCCCAGCTTTTATGTTCATGAGCTTTATGGCTTGAATTTGGACATGGATTCAGGATGTTCTCCTCTAGGACACAAAGATCTATTGATGGCCTCTTCTACTTGGCACAGTTAACATTGCCACAGCACTACACTGGCTGAGGCCACAAAGTACAAGCCTAGCAATGGCCCCATAAAGCCATTGGAGAAGTGACTTACTCCTCAGCAAATTCTGCTGCAGCAACAGTGCCATTACTGTCCATTTCCTTTAAGTCATAAGCGATTCCAACTGGAATGTTGCCGTTAAATGAACTGAAAGTCAACTTCTAATGCATGCCAAATTGACAATGTTTTCTCTTTTGTCATGACCTCAATTTCTTCTATTCTCTTTGTTTTACATTCATTTTTTATCAGTAATTCCTTAAGGTTATTGATTTCACTGGAGTTACTCTTTCTCTTCTGTTTGATAGATACTTCCACTTCACTTTGTTTTCCAACTGTTCTTTATAAAAATATATCTAGTCATTTGCTTAAATGCTCATCCATTCTTCCATTATACAAGCTAAGTAGACTTCAAAAGCAATAATATTTTTCCAGAATTCAAGTGTAGATGAAAGATCTCCATTAGAACGCCCAAAGCTCCTAAGGAAGAACATCTCTCAATTAAACATAAGGCTTTACAACTGGTTCTCTCTACTCTCCTTCTAGAACCAGGCACACAAAATAGCACAAATGGAAATCAGACACCTAGAATGAGCTTGGAGAGAAGAGAAGGGACAAATTCCCCATTTCAACATCACATTGGCATAAAACAGTACAACTAAACTTAGAGCAGAGGTATATCAAATCTCAACAAAGATTCATCAAAAACTATGGTCCTCTTCCTTCTCCCCCTCCTCCACTCTCCATCTGTCCCTTTACTCTCTTCTCTATTTTATCACATTTAACTCATATCCTCTAGAGGGAAGGGAAACCATCTTTCTATTAAAATGTAGCTCTAGCACTCCTACATTAACAGAGGAGAGACTATGCTATTTTATCACCCATGATGCTGATCCGTTTTCCTTTGCAAATTTGTGTGTATGGTATAAAAGACCGAATTGCTAAACCAGGAATCCTGGTACAAATGCAAGTATGATTTGTCACGAGGAAGGGATCTGCCGTGGGTGACAGAGGAACACTGAGGCACAGGAAGAGCGCGGTGGCTCACTGCGCATGTGCACCGAGCGCTTCACACCTTGGACAGCTGCTCTTTGAGTCTGGTCATGGTCGCAAGCATTTCATTGGCTTCCTCTTGGGGGCTTTCTTTGGCAATGAGATGTGCTGTCTTTGTCATAATTTTATACTGAGCATCCATCACGGGCAGCCTCTGCTCAATGTCCTGCATGGACCATGGAGGAGAAAAAAAAAAAGCTCCATTAGTATGTGAGACATTGTCTTTCAATCTCAAGATTCCGCAGAAGGCAGAACTAAAATCAATATGTGCTGCACAGTATTCCATGGTTGTTATAAATGTTTTCAGATGCAAGTCATTGCTTTCCTTCTTTACTAATATAAAAGCGATGTTAACACAAATAAAACCAAAAAGTCCTTCCCTTTAACAGTGACCTTACGTTAACCATAAAGATGAGTTGAAGGAATCTTTACCTTTCTGAAGAATGTGTTCTATAGTGTAGAAATTCTGCATCATGTCAATGCATCCTAACCACCTGTGTGGTAATTCTGACTTTAAAAATAAAACTTTTCTTAAAAATAATTCATCTGTCATTGTAGAAAACTTATAAATGACTAATTTTAGGGGGATTGGTAAGGTAGCAGAGGCCTGAAATGCCAGCTGTGCAGGAGACTGAGATCAGGGAATCAAGTTAGTGAAACTCTATCTATGAAAACAAAGATGAGCGTGTCTGCACGTATCTGACATCGTAGCTAGGCAAGAAAGGAGAGGCATTGTGCAAGGCTGGTACTGAAGAAAAAGTATGAGACTTATTTTTTTAAAAATACACTAAACCAAAAGGGGTTGGGGGTGTTGTTCACTGGTAGAGCATCTGCACAGGTCCTGAGTTCAAATATCAGTACAGTTAAAACATAGAGTAGCAAATTTTTAAATTATTAATGGTGCTCTTATAAGGTGAGAACTGAAGCCAATGTCTCATTAAACTACCATTGGTTTGTTTTTTACATCTTTCCATTTTTAGAAAAAAAAAACACAAAAAACGAAAAATCAATGATGAGCGTCAGTGAGTTTTACTTTTCCTGCTTAATATTATGTTGTAAAATTATGTTGGATTAAATATTCTACTATCTTATTTTCAAGAGTTACAGGCTCTTCAAATATGCAACTACCACAATTTGTTCAGTAAATTTATTTTTTACTGTTGGATTCATCTATGTGGAGATACTACCTGTAGCTATCTCTTGTTCTAAATGTTTTCTAATTTGGTTGCAGGAAAGAAATGCCAACTTGAAAAACTATTTGGAAGTTATTTTGTAAAATCAAAACATAGGTTTTAAAAATTCAATTACTTTTTTGAATGAAAGGCACAAGCCAACATTATGTCAAAATTATCATCAGGATATAGAGACACACATTTGCCAGGATCTAAGGAATACCATCAGTCATTAGTTTCATGACAGACTTTTTTTTCTTTTTCTTTTTTTTCCTTTCCTGCCTGGCTGATTTTGAACCATGATCCTCAGATCTCAGCCTCCTGAATAGTTAAGATCACAGGCACGAGCCACCAACATCAGGCTGTTCTGTCTTTGCTTTGCTTTTCATCGTATAATCCACCTTCTCACCTCCAAGTCTTGAATTAATAACTTGACATTAATAAATGATACTTCTAAGGACCCATGAATTTTCCCTTGGGCTTCGGTTGCAAAAGCAGAGAGGGTAGTGATACAGTCTGTGTATTCCTTCTTCATTCTGTCCATCTCATCCGCCCGAGCATACTGTGAGAGAGGAGACAAAGTGGGAAGCTCGCACACGGTGGACTAGAACCCGCAGCCCTGCCCACATATTCCCATGTGCTCTGCATCTGCTGTGTGCTCAAGCACGACTCTAACTCCTCATTCCCATTTTATAGAAGTCTGTAGTGAATCCAATTCCTCGGATAAGAAAGCAGCATACCTACTGAAGAGCTGTGATTTGGAAGGCACACCATGCCATCCTAGCAGGCTCCATATGTCCACCTAATCTTGAATCAAACTGCCTCTCCAGAACGTTCCTCCATCATAAATGGAAGAGAACGAATATGCACGTGCAAAACAGCAGCACTTTCCAACCCGTTTCCCATCCTGCCTAAATCAGCCCGGGCTTATTAAGCAACATTAAATTAATGTTGCTTCCTAGCTAACTATAACCATATACACACACATGTGCAAACACACAGAGACACGTGAACACACACATGCACACACGCATGCACAGATACACGCGTGCACGCGCGTGCACACACACACACACATCTGGAATGAGCACAGGTAAGAAGCCGTACTTGGTTGACCTCCATGAACAGCTCCCGCCACCGTCCGTTGAGCAGGAGGAGTTGCTGCTTCAGGTCACGAGAAACCAACTCGTCGCAAGTTTCGATCAGAAAGTTGCCGGCATCATTCATGGCAGCATGCTGCTGAATCCAGCGGGGCAAATTCCGGAAAAAATCCTGAACAAGGAAGAACACACACACACACACACACACACACACACCCTTGTATACAAGGTGCCACAGAGCCATCACTGAGAAGAGATGAGCAGGTGAGGAAAAAATATTGGCATCCTGGAAGTTGTGCAAAAACACAAAGAGAAATCTTCAATCTCTTCCAAAAGGCAACTTTTAAATAAAATTTCAAACTACTGGGAAACACTGCATACCTTCGCAAGACAAGCACGTGCTATGTGACACACGCTGGATCCAAACTCCTGCCTCAAGAATTGACCTGCCTGGTACTACAGAATGAGCCACTATGCATGTCTTTCAGTATCATTTTGTCAGAATATCTATGGCATATCTTTTACTGAAGACAAAACAAAACATGAGGATGATTTTGTGTAGGTGTCTTTTCTGTGCCAGCACCAGGGCTTGAACTCATGGCCTTGTGCTCTGGCTTAGCTTTTATGCTCATGGCTGGTGCTATATCACTTGAGTCATGATTCTAGTCTGGCTATTTTGTTGATTAATTGGAGTTGGAGTCCTATAGACTTTTCTGCCAGTGCTAGCTTTGAACCAAGAACATCATTTTAGTAATAAAAAAAGTATAAGTGACAGAGACTCATGCAGAGTGTTTAGGCTATTGAATGCCAGTAGAAGCATCAGTTTAGAAGTGAACATGATAGGGAAATATAGAGCTTTCTTCAAAAAACTATTTTGATGCTGGGTACCAATGGCTCACTTCTGTAATCCTACTACTCCAGAGACTTCGATCTAGAGGAGCCTGCTGTAAAGCCAGCCCACACAGAAAAATCTACGAGACCTACTTTCCAACTAGCCAGCAAAATGCCAGACTGATGGTCTGGCTCAAGTGGCAGAGCTCCAGTCAAGTAAATGTCCTAAGTTACAACCACAGTGCCACCAAAGAAAAAAGCCCACAAAAAAACAAAAAACAAAAATACTTTTAGGCTGGGCGCTGGTGGCTCACACCTGTAATCCTAGCTACTCTGGAGCTGAGATCTGAAGACTGCAGTTTGAAGCCAGCCAAGGTAGGAAAATCCATGAGACTATCTCTAATTAGCCACCAGAAAACTGGAAGTGGTGCTGTGGCTCAAAGTGGTAGAGTACTAGTCGTGAATGAAAAAGCTCAGGGAAAGCGCCTACGCCCAGAGTTCAAATCCCATGGCAGACAAAAAAGAAACTTTTTTTTTTGTCGGTCGTGGGGCTTGAACTCTGGGCCTGGGCGCTGTCCCTCAGCTCTTCAGCTCAAGGCGAGCGCTCTACCACTTGAGCTACAGCGCCACTTCCAGTTTTCTGGTGGTGTATTGAAGATAGGAGTCTCACGGTCTCTCCTGCCCGGGCTGGCTTTAAACTGCGATCCTCAGATCTCAGCCTCCTGAGTAGCTAGGATTACAGGCGTGAGCCACCAGCGCCCGGCAAAAAAGAAACTTTTTTGAATTAACATGTTTTAATATAAAGAGATTCCACTGTAAATTTTCCATATATTCATACAGTGTACTTAGAACAAATCACCTTCTGCCATTAAAATTTTTAAATAAAATTTTCCCTGTTCATTTTGATTTCAAAATATGAATATACACAATGAACTAAGATAGCTTAAAATCATGGAGATAAAACATTGAAAGGAGACATTTTAGATGAAGTATTTGACTTGAGAACATCTATATATAACATCCTTTCTTATTTCTTTAAGGGCATACATGTGTGCAAGTATAACAGTCCAACTCATTTCAAATTAAAATGTCTAGGTTCATATGCATGTGTGTGCACACGTACATGCGCACACATCACAGCAAAAACTAAGGATAATTCAAATTCCATTTCAAAAGCCCATGAGTGGGAGGATTTCCTACATAAATAGACGAGAACACTTCTGTTCCTAGTTGCTACAGCCTGTGGAACAATTGAACACAACTGACATCTCCTAGAGCATTGCTGGTCTGATTAGATAAGGCTTCAAACCTGTATGGGGTGCTGCGTCATTATTGCACTCTGGTAACTACATTAGAAAAAATTTAATTTGTATGAGCAAAGGAAGGTAAAAAAAATCATTTTTTAAAATGATACATCTCCTTTGTGCAAACAATAGAAGAACCTGCCTTGAATGGCAAGCAGTAATTCATTCTAATGTGTGTATTCTATTTCTATGTATTTGTTTTGGAAGCCTGACATTTTCACGCCTTTTACATATAAATTTATTTTTCATACAAGAATGTCTGGATTCCTCCAAGCAATAATATATATATCAGTCCATTTCATTTGTCATTTACACGTAGTGACATAACGTAAAATACTAATCCCCACAAGTAGACACACTTACACACTTAAGACTAGTGAAAAAAGACATCACTCCTATGTAGAATGATACACATCAGTGGGAGTGGATAAGATTCCAAAAGGAATATCTAAAGAGACAAGAATATCCCAGTGATGTATGGTACACAGAGACCCAGCTTCAAGCTAGCCAGTCTTCATAGGAAAACATGGGTCAGGCCCTTACCCAATGCAGACTTCATTATGGGCAGAGCGCCCTCTGTTGCCCAGTCAATGTCACTGCCTCTCCTCATGAAGAGAACCATTTTAACAAAACTTGAAGGAGCCAAAATTTCCTTGGCCTGAAGAAATGTATTCACTGGAAGGAACTGCTTTCCAGGCAAAGGGAGACTTCTGTGTCACCCTTGCCAACGCAGAGCACTCTCTAGTGAACAATGCATGATAGAGACCTGGCCTTGCCACCTGTCATTTTCCTGTCATGTGACGCGGCCTTACCTTTTTGGCGCTTTCTGACTGACCGAGCATCTTCTCCGCATCTTCTAGCCAGGCTTGCAGGCTGGCCACAGTGTTGCAGTACCGATCCCAGTTGGAGATCACTTCCTCCAGCATGCTCCGCACGCTCCTCACCTCCACAGACAGGTTCCGCCACTGAGCCGTGGTCTCTGACATGAATTTCATCACGTTCTCCGCTTCTTCCACTGACACACAGAGAGCCACGAGGTAAAGTCCGCTACCTACCACTCATTCCTACAGTCTCAGACCCGCGTGAGCCTCGGCGCCCATTGCCAATGCCAGTGCGCCTTTACAAAAATTCTCACAGACACAAACACCTCTTACACACTGGGTCATGGCCCTAACTTAAACGCTCGTCAACTTTCACTTTTGAAAAGTTTAGTCCTTAGAATTGAAACTAGGTTGAAAAATTGCAATTTAGAAAACTGATTTTTTTTTCTTTTTGCGGTAATAGAGCACGCTACAATTTGAGTCAAGCCCTTAGTTCTTTCCTACTTTGCTTTTAAATCTGTTTTTGTCTTTGTTTGTTTGTTTTAAATTCTTTTGCTAGTCCTGGGGCTTGAAATCAGGGCCTGGGTGCTGACCCTGAGCCTCTTTGTACTCAAGGCTAGCACTCTACCACTTGAGCCACAGCACCAACAAGTCTCATGGACTTTCCTGCCCCGGCTGACTTAAACCTTGATCTCAGCCTCCTGAGTCGCTAGTATTACAGGCATGAGCCACTGTGCCAGGCTGCTTTTGTTTTTGTTTTAATAGAGTCTTGCCTTCACTGGCCCCAGGCTGGCCTTGAACTATACTCCTCTTACCTCCTCCCACATAACTGGAATTAGAGGTGTGTACCCCACACGCAGTATCAATGATTATTTTGTTCTCTCTTGGAAGATTACTGGGGGTTAGGGGGAAGAGATAAGACTGTGGCTGTGGCTGGGAAGGTGGCTCAGTGGTAGAGCGTTTGCCTTGCATGCCTGAGGCCCTGGGTTTGATTCCTCAGCACCGCATAAGCAAAAAGAAAAAAGCCGGAAGTGGCACTGTGGCTCAAGTGGTAGCGCGCTAGCCTTGAGCTGAAGAGCTGAGGGACAGTGCCCAGGCCCAGAGTTCAGGCCCCACGACTAGACCCTCCCCGCAAAAAAGACTGTGGCTGTGTAGGTCAGATACTGCACAGATTCGAGAAAACTGAATTAACATATTGTCTCCAAGGATAATGGCATGATCACACAGATTCTACAAGAGAAACGGATGGATCTGACACTCTGGGAAGCTGTAGGTTCTACCTTCTACTGCAGTCAGCACAACACCAAATTTTAGTGAGCGTGTATTAACTGTACAAAGCACTGGACTTTATTATGACGCTTTCATACACGCATCTGGAGAACATTGAGCACCCACCCCTTCATCCTCATCTTCCCTTCTCTCCTCCACCCCCCACTTTCTTTTCCCCTCCCCTGAGGCCACTGGGTGTTACTCTGATTGAGTTTTACCTGAGCCATCAGCTTTGATGTACATCTCAGCTGTCTGTTTCAAGATCTGGTATGTGACTTCATACTGCTCGAAGAACTTGCTGTTTTCTATAAAAGACTAGGAGAGGAGGGAGAGTTAGAAGACTGGAAAGATTAGGCTGTATACAAATGTCTCTTCCAAAGAGACTGATGGATGCTTTATTCAAATTTATTAACCTTATTGTTCAAGAAAATGAAAAATTAATTTCATTGTTATGAATAACCCAAGGTTCTTTTGATCATATACATTAATCAGGCAGTTCAATTTTCACTTAGCAATAGAATGAGAAAACACTCCATTTTGTCTCCATCCAAGGATGATGACGAAATTCCTTCCAAGAACCTCCGTCTAACATAGATAGCATTGGCGTGAGAGAAACACGTCGGCATCCAACCGTGCTTAAGTTGTGCGAGTGGCTTGCTCTCTGGACATCGGTGAATGTCTCTTTTGAAGAACTTCAGACTACACATGACAGACAGCGTGTGAACTTCTTTTTGTAAAATTTAAAAAAGCCAATTACTGGGATTTGAACTTGGGGCTCTGCCTTTGCTAAGCAGACGATCACAACTTGAGTCATGCCTCCATCCAAGGTTTTTTCTAGTTATTTTCAAGATAGATAGGGTCTCACTTCTTGGTCCACTCATGAGCCAAAGTCTGCCTTCCCAGCTTCCTGTCCTAGCTGGTAGCATAGGAGTATGCCACTGCAGCTAGCCCCCCTCCCTGGAAATGGAAGCTCTCAGACTTTTCCTTCCAACCCTCCCACACAGTTAGGAATAATAGGCTGATGCTACTGCACCCAGCTGCAGAGATGAAGTCTCTAACTTTTCTTCCTGAGCTGGCCTCAAATTGCAGTCCTCCCACTTTTAACCTCCCAACTAGCAAGGATTTCATGTGCGAGTCACCAGCACCTGGCTAGAAGTAGGAAAGTGTAAAGAAATCTCAGATGCCATCCCTGTTATCAATAGCTGTGCATTCTGATTGCTTCATGTGAAAATTAGAGATAGCATGCATCCACTTGTGATTCATCAACGCAAATAAAATCAGGGTCTGCAAATGTACACAATAAAACTGAATGCAGAAAAGAATCTCAAAGTCAATTTTAATATTCAGAATGTTAAAAGCATAAAAACACAGGCCTGTTTCTAAGATTATTATTACAATAAACTAGAACATAGTATAAATCATAAATTAGTATAAATCATAAATTGATTCAAAGTAAAAGATCATAATTAATAACCTATCACTACAGCTTTGTTAATTTCCTTTAGTAGTAGAATGACTTCTCATGGCTTGAATTCATTAAGATATGGGACAAGGCCAGTATGATAAAGAACAAAATAAGCTTCGACAATGAGCTGAAGTCCCATACAGGATGCTGGTGACAACTTACAGTGATGGAAAAAGCCTATGCACATACAGATATAAAGTGGTTCACAGAGAAGTTTCATAGGCATCCTGAGATTGTCACCAACATTGTTTCAAGATACAATGTGAGAAAATTCTATATATAAGCTTCAATACTGTCCAATAGGCCTTATTGTTTTTTGTTTGAGAACAGAGTAAGACAATAGTCTGTCCAATTCACAATCTCCCCCTAGGTCTTAGTCCTCCTCTTCATTCAAGAAATGAGTCATTCACTGGAATTCAAACTGTGAATAATTTACCCAAAGAAATAAGTTATGGTTAGATCAAAAAGCTCCCCAAATGGAAATTTATACCTAATGTTCAAGACATGGTCTAAGAAAGGGTAGAAAGAATTATATTTGAAGTTTAAAAATTCGTTCCTGCAAAATTTCATTTCTGGCCAATAGTTCTGACAAAATCTCAAGAAACTAATGGGATTAATGCATTCTACTCATAAAGAGACTTGTTATATTGAAACCCCTTTGTACTTGGAAGATATTAAAACATAAATTATATATGGAAAAGAAGCTAATGGGGCAACAATTGCTATATGTATCAAATAAATGGAAAACAGAACCTATGGTGAGCAAGAAACTTCAATATATTTTTGCTGAAATAGTTTACAAATTAATTGCAAAAGAATTAAGAGAACAAACCTCTCATTTCTGGTCCAAGGGTTTTAAGAACATTGCCAAAAATGTTGTAGGATTCATTATTTTTTTAACATTGCTACTAGGAATTTTGAAAAGAAAACAGTCTTATTTATTAATTTTGTATTGGGCTATGTAATTTGTCCCCTTTTGACTAAGTCTGAGGTAAATATATACTTCCTAGAAAAATGTAAACTAATTATCATGCATATTTTAAATAATAGTTACAAGATTCCTTTAACCTTTTAAAAAATTATACTGAAACTTGGAGATGATAGATCACAAATAAAGCATGTTAGTGGGTTTTTTAAGCTGATGGTCCTTCAAGAACAGTAATGGAAGTGTCTTAAATTTCTCCTCCCAGAAAGTAAATACAGATTTAATAAATACGAAGCTCATCATTTCAGATAAGGGGAGCTAAACCAGACTGCTGAAGAATTTTCAAAATCAATCTTAAGGAGTAGTTTCATCAGGATTGACTATACATTCATGAAATAGTTACAACTAGAAAGATAAATATTCACATTATTTCTGTTGAATTCACAGAATCCACAATTCCAGTAGCTCTTCCATTCATTTTTATGAGAGACCAAAACATTATCATGGTTTTGCCATAGTAAAATTGAGTCACGTGTCACAGACAGCAATTCTATCAGCAAGGACCAAATCAATTGCCTTCTGAATTTCTTTTTTCTTTTTTTTGGGGGGGAAGGGGGTCCAGTCGTGGGGCCTGAACTCTGGGCCCAGGCGCTGTCCCTCAGCTCTTCAGCTCAAGGCAAGCGCTCTACCACTGAGCCACCTTCCCAGCCCCCTGCCTTCTGAATTTCTTGACAAGACTCTCATTTCCAATTAAAAACCAGATGTGATACTATGGCTCCAAGTGGTAGAGTACTAGCCTTGAGCAAAAGAGCTCAGAGATAGTGCCCAGGCCTTGAATTTAAGCCCCATAACTGACAAAAAGAAAAAGGAGAGAGAAAGAAAAAAAGAAATAGCATCTGGTCTACCTTAAGTATTCTGAAGTATTTTCCAAGATGTAATAAGTACTCAGCGGCTGTCTATCCTGGCAAGCATACTTTCTAGTCCCTCTAACCATTAAAAACATGTTCTATCTCTCTGTTTTTGCAGATGATTAAAACTGATTTGATGATGCAGATTAAGGACAAAGTAATGCTAGACTATGGACAGTTACGATCTGCATTATTAGATAATATAGCAGTAGAGAGCCCGTTATAACACATTCTATGAAGTAACCAAGAGGAGGATGCATTCAAGCCACCATCTCTATGGTTATGTTGGGAAGTCTGCATGATCTTTCAGATGATCTGATCTAAAGAAAATGAGTTTCCATGAAATCCCAAAAGCATCAGGGAAGTCTAGGCAGAACGTGTCTGTCAGTCGTGGGGGCCTCTGACTGCCCACGATCCTGCTATCATTATTATCATCATTGTTAGTATTAAAAACTTGGGGGAAACTAAGTTTTCTAAAATCATGCTCTATACAAAACAGAAAGGTAGTAAGTGGGAACCTTGGCTGGTATTGGTAGCTGGGCTTCATCTACTTTCTAACTCCATACCATATTGCCCTGCACACCAATAATAATATGTGTAAGAGTAAACTATCACCAAACACAAACCAGGAGTAAACCATATTTATACTTATGTGAACAACTTTCTTTAGCTCATTGGCATGCAAGATATTTTCAGTGCTTGGCCTTTTAAGTTAAAGACATTTTTCATAGACTATTAATTTAGATAGCATATGTTGTTTTAAAAGCTATTTGGATTTGAAAAGAGTTCAGTGCTGAGAAGGTGGTTCAGTGGTAAAGTGCTTGCTTAGCATGCATGAAGCCCTGGGTTCCATTCCTCGGTACCACATACACAGAAAAAGCCAGAAGTACCACATACATAGAAAAAGCCAGAAGTGGCACTGTGGCTCAAGTGGTAGAGAGCTAGCCTTGAGCAAAAGCAGCTCAGGGTCAGTGCGCAGGCTCTGAGTTTAAGCCCCAGCTCTGGCAAAAAGAAAAAAAGGAGTTGAGTTCAAATTCTGGCTCCACTTTACCAACTGTGCCATGTAGAGCACAAGACTTGGAGTGTGTGTGTGTGTGTGTGTGTGTGTGTGTGTGTGTGTGTGTGTGCGCGCACGCGTGTGCGTGCGCACATGCGTGCTCACATGCATGTACATGTGCATGCCACCTGGGGCTTTAACTTAGGGTGTGGATGTTGTCCCTGAGCTTCTGTGCTCAAAGCTAGCACTCTACCACTTAAACTCCAGCTCCATTTCCAACTTTTTTTGCTGGTTAATTGGAGGTGAATCTCAGAGACTTTTCTTCCAGGCTGGCTTCAGACCCTGATCCTCAAATCTCAGCCTCCTGAGAAGCTAGGAAGCTAAAATTACAGGTGTGAGCCATTGGTACCAGGCAATGACTTGGACATTCAAAGGCCCAGTGCTTGAAGTCTGTTTCTTCAGTGTATGAAATAATTCAGAAACAAGCTGTCCTTAAGCTTCGGTCATCATTAGCAGCCAATACTCCATACTCATAGTTATTGATGATATTAACACTAAAAGGACCTTAACGCCTTGTAAGGAAAAGAAACATGAGTATCAATTAGGTTTTCTCTACCTGGGAATGCAAATATTTGGTGATGTTCAATCAAATATATTGCATTTGTCAGGTGATTGTCAGCTTTATAATAGTTATTAAAAAAATCCAAAGAATTTTGAAGTAAGCTGTGTAGTGAACTCTAACTTTATGGAGTAGGCAGGAAATATGACCTTTAATCATGAATGTCATATCCTTTGAAGAGTTCAAGGAGTATTATTAACATCATTGTATTCTGACATCAACCTAGTGAAAAAGTCCTGTTAAGGTATTTAAATCTGATTGACTATTCTTAAAAAGCTATAAATAACTCTTGTCCAATTAGCTCCTGAGCTCAGAGGACTTGGTGTAGTATAAAACTTTAAAAATATAAATACATACATGTATTTATTTTTTTAGAAAAAATGGATTTTTCATGAACTTCCAAAATAACCATAAATGAATAAGAGAACAAATCATAACAGATTTCACAGTTTTTGACAAACATTTTTGAGACAATTTTAGTAAGCTGAGAGAACAAGTTTGCTATACACCAGTTAAATCTTTCATATCTTAAATACATGTCATTTATACAAGCACTCAGAAAGTGAAAATAAAATACAGCAGAAATAGATTATGGTTCAAAAATACTTAAGTGAAGTTATGACTTCAGTAACCATTCAAGCACACCCTATTCTTGAGTCACTGTGACTAACAGGCTGGTATTTTTTTAAATGCACTGATTTATCATTTGGACTTGGTCTTTAAACATAAATGGATCACTCAAGGATTGAGATGCCCTATTAGTATTACTTTTATGACCAAATACATATTGTAAATAAGTTTTTATGTTTACAGTTGAAGAAGAAACAAACTGCCTTTATTAAATAGAATGTGCTGACCATGCAAAGGAGACTACTTTTATAGAACAGCTGAATATTTTCACTTAGTTCAGGCTAATATTCTGGATACATATAGTATCATCTGCACCAATAACTCAAAACATGATATATATATTTTGGGGGGAAGGGGGGTTGTCGTGGAGCCTGAACTCTGGGCCTGGGCACTATCCCTGAGTTCTTCAGCTCAAGGCTAGCGCTCTACCACTTGAGCCACAGCGCCACTTCCAGCTATTTCTTGCTTATGTGGTGCTGAGGAATCGAACCCAGGGCCTCATGCATGCAAAGCAAGCACTCTACCACTGAGCCACCTTCCCAGCCCCATAGATATATTTTCAAAAAGAAGGTAATACTCAACATATTGTAAAGTGAGTATCAATGTTGCTTTGGTTCATCCTTTGTCCTGCTGTTTCTGTGATTCCCTTTTCCTTCCACATATTGAATAATCTTATATTTAAGACACATGGTACAGAAAACCAAGAGAAATGAAAAAAAAGGTAATACAAAGAATAACAAACAAAGCTGTCCTGGACCTGAGTCAACATTAGAATGAAGAATGCTAGGAGAAGACCAGAGAAGAGACACATGGACCAGAGAGAGCTACACAAGTAGATTTCCCAGGTGGACAACTGAAATCTCTTCTCACTCTTCCTACCTGGGTTTTCGAAGACACAAAGATAACTTTTAAGCACTGTCATTCAGTAGCTCAGTTATAGGTGAATTGCAATCCAGTGTATGGGAAACAACACCAAAACTTTCTTCTTAAGTAAACAAAGCTCAGTTACAATGGTTCAAGGATGACTATGATTTAAAAAAAAAAACTTTCTAAAAGAAGGGTTTAAAAGAACAAGTTCCAAAGAAAATAGGGTTAGGTTTTAGATAACTATGAAAATCTCATAATCTTGGATCTAACCCATTTATCCCCTTAGTATTCCTGAGTTTAAATTCAAGATTAAACTTCTCTAGCAAAGCCCCAGGAGACTCACTATGTAGTTTTGAAGAAGCAGCTCCACAGACTCCCGTCTCCCGTACTTGATGATCCACGACTTCAGTTTTGACTCTGCAAGAACCAGCAGTGAGAGCAGGCGGTACTTTAATTCTAGAAATTCCATTTTCATCAAGTGCAGCTCTGATGTGGAGGAAACCAGCTGAAACCTAGAAATAAAGCAGAACAACACCGAATGTAACTAATAGTAACCGAGAGCTGCTTACTGGATCTCCTAGATGGCAGCCTTAAATATAATTTAGCACCAGGTCCCCTAAACTTGGCTGATCCCACAGCAGGGTCTCGGCTTCCTCTGTGAGCTCCGAGTTTCAAGGCAAAGAGGGAATGATTGAAGCCTTTGATTCCGCTCTCTCCCCTGCCGTCACATCTCTCATCTGTTTCTTTTCTAAGCTGTTTTTGCAATATTACATAATGTTCCTACAGTACTGAATAAAAATACAGCCCATGAAGAAATCATTTCTGTGCTTTCCAAGCCGTGGGAAGATTTGGGCTCAACCTTTAGAGTTAATAATACATTCGGATGCTGGCATTCTTTAGCCTATGTAGCTGGGACCTGCTTCTCATTTGCCGAATGCAAGCCTCTCTGTTTTAAAAAAGAAGGAAACAGTAAGAAATAACTCATGGTGGGGGGGGGGAGTGGATAGAAACGAATGTAGAAAGCATCTTCCTAGAATTTTTTTAAGGGCTTGATATAGAATCAGCCATGCTCTTTCTTACCTCTCAGCCATGTCCTCTAACTGGTCCGGCGGCACTGGGATCCCATTCACGGACCTGGTCCTGTAGATTTCGTGGAAGGCTCTTTTATGGGCATCTGTGTTTTGAAGCAGATCCTAAGATACAATGTTTTTTAAAAAATAGACAAAATGAAAAAAAGAAAAAAACCATGTTCCCAGGAGGCTGGAAAGCATCATTTCCAGGCGGCTTGGATGAGTCAATGTAAAGTAACCATTCATTCCTGCTGCCACTTTGCCCTGTGGCCGGTGCCTGTCACCGGCTTCTAGCACGGGAGTCCATGCTGTGCAGAAGACACTGCTGAGCGGTGGCTAATAATTATGCCATCTTTTGAGCACATAAGACACTTCACAGCCATCCATTCAGACATTTTAAAGGTACATGGTCTGGGGATGCATGCAGTGACGCCTATAAACAACTATTTCAGGATTTTTTTTCTTCCTTCCTAGATTTGAAAGCTGAAAACTAAGCATAGAACATTTAACCCCTTCGTGGTAAAAAGGTATTGGGAATCTCTACTTTTTTTATTTTTGAGTATGTGTGGGCGATTTTAAGTAATTCTTGCTTGTCGTCTCAAGCCAAGTAGATTACAATACATTTGGAAAACATCTTTTGAGTTGAAACTTCTCCAACAAGCGCAGGGAAAGATCCTCCAAAAGAACAAATGTGGTGTGCATAAAATATTCGTTATCAATTCTATTCATTTATTTAGGTGAATTTGTATCTTCTTTGATTTGTTTACAGTACCTTTTACTGAGCATAAACTCACTTATAAAACCAAGGTATGTTTTCATAGTTCCTACACAATTTCTTAAAACAAAACAAGGAAGAGTGGAAGGCTAGATCATGGTGGTACACGCCTATAATACTAGCTACTCAGAAGGCTGAGATCTGAGGATCACGGTTCGAAGCCTGCCTAGGCAAGAAATCCATGAGACTCTATTTCCAATAACCTACCAAAACAGTGGAAAGTAGAGCTATGGCTCACATGGTAGAGCACTAGCCTTGAGCAAAAAACAGCTCAGGGACTGTCTAGGCCCTGAGTTCAAGCCCCAGCACACATATAGCAGGAGTGGAGAGATTTGTGCCATATTTTCTAAAGATCAATCCATTTCCTACTAGCAGAATGAATATTCAACTGTATATTATTTCAGCTTACTGGAAATTCAGGCACATTAGCCCCTGAAAATAAGTTAAAAGGAATATTGTTTCTCTAAACCCAGTAGATCCACTAGAGAAAAGAAAGCAAAAATAGCCTGAATCCAAAAGTGACTGACGTGAAAAGACTCTTCAACTACAAACCAACTAGATGGTCAGGAAAACATACAACTCTAATTGGTGGGTTCAGAGGAAGACAAGATTTTATGTCTCTCACTCTTAGCAAGACATAGCCCTAACTGGACCACCAAGTGAGCAAAGCCAGATGGAAAGTGACTGGCCTGAGAACATATGTATCCCAGTGCTTCAGGAGATTGGGTTGTAGAGTGAGAACAAGGTAAAACTAGTTGTCTTCTCTCCAGCCAGAGCCCACAGTGAGGACAAAGATGGCTCACTTGATAGCAATGTGAGAGGAGGAAAGCAGATTTCCAACCACATGAAACAAGGCACCATGAGTGAGAACCAGCAGAAACAGGAGACATTTGTCTAATATTTGGCACCCCTATGACATAATTTAGAAGGAAAATGATCTAGTTAGCATGTTTCTTAAACCTTACATTGATTAAGAGGTTAAGATATTGATTAATTCACCAGGCATCCATGGCTGATGCCTGTAATCCTAACTACTTAGGAGGTTGAGATCTGAGGATCAAGGTTCAAAGCCAGCCCAGGCAGAAAAATCTGGGAGACTCTGCCAATTAACCATCCAAAAGTCAGAAATGGTGCTGTGGCTCACGTGTACAGTGCTAGCCTTGAGCAAAAATAAAGTTTCAGAGATAGCACCTCAAGCCCTGTGTTCAATCAATGAATAAACTAATATCAAGCAAAAGAGATTTCAGATCGGAAATCAGTAAAATTATTGGATCACATAATAATTCTACTTTCTACTTGCTAGAAGATAATCCTGTTCTTGAATATATTAGTAAATATCAAAATAGGAAAAGCAAACATCAAAATAGGAAAAACTTTGTAAAAACTACAAAGAAAAGCTGTGAAATTGGTGTTGCTGTGGGGGATGGGAGGGTGAAGAACATACCTCTCCCACAACTAAGAAACATCAAAGGTAGCTATGGACGGCAGGCAGAGGGTAAGAGGTAGAGGAGTAGGAGGTAGAGGGGAGGGAAGCAGAAATGCCTGTGTCAAAAATTCCACTGCTGCATGCAAGAAACTCCTGTTCATCTGCACCTGTGTCTCATGGCTCTGAGATGCCGCCATAACCGGATTTCCTTCTCCTTCACTGGTGGTTCCTTCTCAGACATTTGATGGTTCATCTTCTACCTTTTGATCTCTTGATGCTGGATTCTCTTGAGAAGTAGTCCTTGATCCTTTTCTTTTTCATTGTTTACATTTTGTATTCAGTTTTCCCATTCTCAATGTTTTAAGCACTGCTGCAGACCACAATGACTCTATACTCTGTGTGTGTGTGTGTGTGTGTGTGTGTGTATGTGTGTGTGTGTGTGTATGTGTGTGTGTGTGTGCACGCGTGCATGCACATGTGTTGGTCCTGGGGCTTGAACTCAGGGCCTGTCCTTGAGCTTCTGTGCCCAAGACTAGCCCTCTACCACTTGAGCCACAGCTCCACTTCTGGCTTTTTTTTTTTTTTTTTTGGTGATTAATTGGACTTGAAACTCACAACCTTTCCTGCCTAGACTGGCTTTGAACTCCTATCCTCTGATCTCAGCCTCCAGAGTAGGCTAGGATTACCAACATGAGACACCCACCCCCACCCCAGCACCCAGCCAAGAAGGGGATAATTTAAGGTGAGAGAAACAACAGAATGTTGCATTTGAATGGACAACAAAATCCAAAGGCAAGAGACCAAAGCACAAATAAATGGTGGAAGAATGACAGGAATCAGCTGCTGGAGGAAGAAGGGGTAGGGGCCTGGCGCGTGAGGAGAGTTGGTTGGCTGGGAGCACAGATGGTTTGGCCATAGTAACAGAAGTGAAGACTCACTATTCAGGCGCAGATGTAAGTAGGTGGGCTGGTGCCGTTGTGGGGGCCTGCGGAAATTCTTTTCTGATTGCTTCTATTTTCTCAGCGAAATAGGAAGCAATGTCATCCGCTAGGAGTGAGGAAGAAAGGACAGGGAGGAGGTGTCGAAGGTTTGAGGAGACGAGGTAGGCAGGAGTTGTCCCAGAAATGGAGGAGTTGAGTTAGGAAATACCCAGGGATGGCCCGGCCCACTTGGATGAGTCATCCTGCCTGCGCCAGCCCTGGTGGCTGCCTGTGGGGAACAGGGAGGTAGGCAGAGGGAGTTTTAACCCATGCTGTGCTTCTATCAGGATTGTAGGACCAAGTGAGATATGGACTAGTTAACAGGGAAGTAACGAAAAAAAGTTTATTCTTTTATTTATTTACTTTGGTTCTGGTACTAGGGCTCGGACTCAGATGCTGGGCATTATTCTTTAGCTTTTGCTCAAGGCTGGCTCTCTACCATTTGAACCACAGCTCCAATTTTGGCTTCTTGGCAATTCACTGGAGAAAAAAGTCACTCAGTTCTGTCTGCCCAAGCTGACTTTGAACTGAGATCCTCAGATCTCAGCCTCCTGAGTTGCTAGGATTCCAGGCGTGAGCCACTGGTGGCCAGCAAGAGATGACTTTTATGAACAATGAATTTAAACAGTTTAAAGGGAAGAAATGAACTAAAAGGATGGAAACAGAATCACAATGAACGATGGCAAGAGTGGAGAACAGGACATAGAAGGAGGAGCCCTGTTTGGCTGGAAAGTGAGATCACAGCAGGAGTCTGTTACTGGTAGCAATGTCTATAGGTAAGCCCATGGAGTGTGTGTGTAGGGCAGGGCCTAGGGCAGGATTGCTAGGGAAGAGAAGATAAAGGCACTAAGAGCCCAGGATAATGGGAGGGCCATCTGCGGACTACTGATTGTATGAAGCCCCATGCTATGCTTTCACATCTGGGAAATAAAACCTTCAATGAAGGAGAGAAAGTAGCCTCCTTAGGACTGGCAATGCAGCCAGAGTAGAATCAGGGGCTGGAGTCCGGCAGCCATTCTCAAAATTCCTTAAGACGGGAAATCTTAATTTGCCAAACTAATACTCTTCCCTCCTGGTGAGTTCCACCAGTGTCAACATCCAGCTTGTGCTAATTATAGCACAATTGAATCACTTTGTGGACATAATGGTATCTTAAGTGTTTAAGATACCTGGGCTCAGCTGGGAGCAGGTGGCTCCCACCTGTTCATCCTAGCTACCCAAAAAGGCTGAGATCTGAGGACTAGGGTTCCAATCTAGCTCAGGCAGGAAAGTCCAAGAGACTCTTACCTCCAATTAACTTCCAAAATGTCAGACATGGAACTGTGGCTCAAGTGTCAGAGAACCAGCCTTGAGTAAAATAGCTAAGGGACAGCACCCAGGCTCTGAGTTCAAGCCCCAGAGCTGGCATAAAAATAAATACATAGGATCACCATGTTGCCTTGGGCAGTTACTAACTTCTCTCCAGCTATGCCCCCCTTATCTGCAAAGAGAACAATAATACCTCTGTCCTATTCCTCATACTTTCAGCAAAATTAAGCACTTTAGAGCAGAAATGCGGTTACATTTTCCTTATTGATCAGCTATGGTTAATGTTCATTTGTCTAGATAATTGAGGCCTGGGTATTTGGAAAATAGAAAAGACAATACAAAATTTATTTTTGCTTTAAAAAATGACTACATTTTATCACATATGTTAATGTAAAAACACAATGTAAAAAGAAGCTAGGCAATGATGGCTCATGTCTGTAATCCTAGCTACTTAGGAGGCTAAGGTCAGAGGATTGTTGTTTGAAGCCAGTCCCAGCAGGAAAGTCCATGAGACTTCAATTAGCCACCAAAAGTAACCACCAGAAGTGAAGCTGTGGCTCAATGGTAGAGTGCTAGCAAAGAAGTTCAGAGATAGCACCTAGGCTCTGAGTTCAAGCCCCAAGACCAGGAGAGA